TTGATTATTGACATAATAAAATGAAATAATTATGTTACAGTTAAATTACACTAAAATATGCTTTTTTGAATATGCTTGTAAGGTAAATAGATTATTTAAACATGTCTATATAAAGTTAAATTTAATGAATAAATATAAATAATTAACATATATAGAAAAAGATAAAAACGCATATCTTGATTGCTCTACTACAATTGTTTCTAATCATGGTTGAAATAGTTTTGAAATAGTCCAGTCTTGTATTCCAACATATTTCAAATTGAAAACTACACCCTGTATTTCCTACAATATACATCGACTATTGCTTCCAAACTTTTTAATTACAACTTTACAGAGCCTGCATATTGAGCATCTGAAACATAATCCTCCATCGCGTTCATGTTCTGTTCTTCTTCCCCTTACAACTATATAGTCCTGACGGACACGTCATTACTGGTGACGTAAATATAGTTAATAATGAGGACCTCAAATCACTTATTTTTAAAGGGCCAACATTTATGAAACCCCGATCTTTCAACTGGTGTCATAATTTCCTATATATTTTGAATTCTGTGGAAGATTACGCCAGGCGGTGGACCATACATCAAAAAGAAGACCTTGACACTTTGTCAGAATGGATAAAATGTATCAGATGTTTGTTAAAATCACACATTAAGCGATTGAGGGGCAATTTAAAAACCATATATCCTTCTGTGTTCAATAATACAGAAGTGAAAAAAGATCAATATGTACTGGTCCCAGCTGAAAAAGCAGGTAACAGCATTGTCTTTGTTTGTAAGGCTCATTATTTGAACTGTATTTTAGAGGAACTGGGATTTAATTCTGTAAGTGGTAATCCAACTTCTACCCATGGACCTCTTTCTAAGGAAGAAATTCTTCAATATCATTTGTCAGTTTTGAATATTTTTAATATTCCCAAAAACCAAAATGAAATATGATCTACCAAGACTCTTTCTTTACTCCTCATTGAAATATTAACAAAAGTGAAGGAGAAAACTTCAGAAGTACTGTGCAACAATATATTCAAGAAGTGGTGTAAATCAGATGTGGATACTTAAAAATTCCAAGAAACATTTGGAAAATGTTAAATCACAAAATTTTACAATAATCAATAACATTCTTGTAAAAACGTACGAGTTTTCAACTTTATATACAACCATTCAACACAATGAATTCAAGTCCAGGATTTGGACATCATTGACAGTTGCTTTTTCAATAAAAATGAAACTCCTAAATTTACAGAATTATTTTTTTAAAAATTATTCTGATTGTACACACAAGTACTCTAAAGTTGATATTAAAAAGATTCTCGAGTTTCTGATTTACAATATCTATGAGAATTTTGGAGACCAGATCTTCAAAAAAATCTGTTGGAATTCCCATGGATACCAATTGTGCCCCCTTATTAGCAGATCTATTTTTGTATTGTTATGAAGAGAATATATTCAAAATTTTATACATGAAAAAGAAAAAGACAGAAAGAAAAAGAAATCTCTTTCTGTGGCCTTCAACTCGACATTCAGATATAACGACGACGTATTGTCAATTAACAATAGTTATTTTCATTCATATCTCAGCAATGTTAAGGAAGAAAATGAAAAATGCGATCTAAGTACCTTCTTAATATATATTATTTTAAAAAATCTTTGTAACAAAGTAACTGTATACATGTAGGAAAGGTAATTAGATATCCATAATGGATAGGTTATCAATTGTGTGTCACGTGACTGGTATAAAAATAGAATTGTTAAGCTGAATATAGAAAATGACGCTAGTGCAAAAGCATACGCATGTTTTTGGAGAAAAAAATTGTTACACATTAAAAAAGATGGCTACCCGAAAAGTGCTGGGAGCTAGTTTGAACCGTTTTGGCAATAATCGTTATTTTGCTGAAAATGCATACAATAGCTAAAAATTCCAACTTTGCTAAAATTCTGTCATGAATAAAAATAATGTTATGCTGACCAGAATCAGCTCCCAGCACTTTTTAAAATATAAATGATACTAGAAGGAGAGACACTGCTAGTAACTATCACGAACTATAATCCCTGAAAGTTTTACATTTATATCTCTTGTCGTTCTTGAGATTATCCGCGGACAAAATGTCATTTTGAAATCAGAAAATGGTCTGTAACTTGGCACCGGAAGTGAATTTCCAAATTTTCTCTCAGATAGATCAAGTTCATGTTATAACACATAATTCCTGAAAATTTCATGCTAATCCATCCAATAGTCTTTGAGAAATCGCTTGCACAAAATTAGAAAGTCAAAAAAATAATAAAAATAACTAAATACTCGTTGCAAGCAACGAGAGGTCTTCCGTCCGAGTAACCATCCTTAACTGTGATATTCTTTGAACGTAAATTTACATTTATATCTACTCGTTGTAAAGACACCTAAAAATTTAACATGGGTCTTTAACAAGATTTTTTATTTATTAAAAAAAAAAAATAAAAGAGCACAGAATTCACAAAGAGAAAAAAAATTCAACATAATTGATAAAGATGAAAACATAAATTTAAGCAAAAAATTCAGATATAGTCGGGATTAAACCAAAAATGGCTGCCTTAAAAGAGCTAGGTTCACTTTATGCATAAAATGGCCCTGTAGATATACCAATTAATTGACTAACACTTTATGTTCCATTTTAAACATCAAGATAAAGTAGAGACTTAGTGCTTTCATTTCCTATGAAAAAATTTCTTCTCAAAGCCAAGGTCTTGGAAAACAGGCTTCATGGAATTGCAATGTTCTTGAATTTTAAGGAAAACAAGTATATTTGAGTACTTTCACAGAAGAGAAATAATATGAGTGCACCCTCTGATCTAAAAAATAAAACAGATTTTGTAATCCTCAGAAATAGTTCCATCATTTAATAGTTACAGATTTAAGATCAGAGGTTACTCTCTATATTAAATATCGAAAAATAGCTTTAAAAATTGGCTGTTTTGTAGAATTTTTCAGGATATGAGGAAAATGACGCATTTCATGACGTCTTAATACATTGGCTAGCCAGAAAATTACGTCATTTTTGATAGATACGCAGTCATCAAAGGTCTAAACGATATTTAATGCATTGTCAACTAAACCCAAGCAGTTTCAGTTTTTCTGAAATTCACAGGGCCAAAAAAGGCCCTTAGTGAACCTTGTTCTTTAATATTGAAACCACTACACTAGCGCAATGTACCAGCCATCACCGATGTTTACCTTGCACTCATTCCCTGAAGTAACGAGTGTCAGGCAGGATAATTTTTTTTTTTATAGTGCGGAATTATAGGATGAAAACTAGCCAGCTAAATTTTGTGCAAGTACTAGTAGTATAAATTTAAACAGAGTTTGACCCTTAAGGACGCTACGCATAACTGAGATTCTAAGAGATCTGGTTTTGCCTGACTGATGCAGACACCATCAGAATGATATTGCTGGACTCCGTTTTCAATGTCTCATCCAAAGTATCCGCAACCTTCACTCCGAAGTGCCGAGAGCCAGGCAAAAGAGCAGTTGCAACCTATTTTTTATCGACATAGGTCAGTTGCGGTCGGGGTTAGAATCCACGATCTTCTGATCACTGAATAATCTTGTAATACCCGATGAATGGCATATGCTAGATATCTTAATGTCTGTGACATATACTTTATATCTCAATGTCTGTATTTTGTGTTCATTCTTTTTCTACATTTTTTAAAGATAACTTGATATTTATAGTATGTCGTGACTTCGCACAAAATATTCAAAGACATATTTGCTATTGTTACCCGTCTTCCTTGGAAGGCGGTATACAGAGTTGAAGTATTTTAAAGTCTTCGGACTATACACTTAATCTCTTTTATGTCTCTCACTATTTCCTAATACAAGCAGCTCACCGCAGCTTTGTTTTGCTCCGAATTTTATTTCAAATACGACAGGACAATTATATGTGAGAATGAAAATTGTCATTTATTCAATACAGTAAATCACGAAAAAATAAGTTTTACAAACAAGGGGGGAAATCAGCAAATACCAAACATTTTGAACATATAGATATATACATTTTACAAGATATGCACACATATGTTCTGATTTCCCCCATAGAAAATAGGTCACAAAGAAAACTTTAGTTCTGACTAGATACAACATAAACTTTATAAAAATTGGTATACGGCTTACAAAAAGCAAAAGATGGCGACAAATATGGCCAATATGTATATGGCATTACCAAAGACAAAGGATGTTCAAAAATTGTGATATTAACAAAAAACTCGTAAAAAATATACATCATGAACACAGACTTCAATATGCAAGGGATGTAACACTGTATATAATACAAAAATAAGAATCACATCAAAAACTTCAACCCTGAGTACAAATGAAAAACAAATAGGTGGAAATGAGAATGGGGAGGTGGTGGGCAATTAAAATTCCAAAGGTCTAAAAGCGTGTTCCTGTGATTGGTAGAAATTGCATGATGTAAAAAATTTCCAATTATTTCATTGGTTGAAATGCTTTGCAAGGCAAGGGAGATAACTTTCTGATGATCTTATTTTTGTACGTCTAAATAATTTTTCAAGATTTTCAATCGTAAAAACAATTGACAAAACAAACAGAGGAAAATGGCAGAAATTAATTCTAGCACGTTAGTTTTTATGTCAATTATTTAAAACGTTTCTATGTTTTCATTGTAAATGGAAATGATTTTTATTTCATGCAAGCTTTAGGGCTTGTGATTATTCTTTTTTCCTTTTGTTTTACACTGTCTTTCTAATCTCGACTGCAGGGTGGGAGTTTACGGAGACAGCATAACGTCTTGATAAACTTTCACATAGTAGGGCTAATGTCAGTGAAAGGCTAATGAAGAAATAAAAATCAAAGAAATGCTCAAGAATAGGTGTAAGCCTGTTGACTGTTAAAGGCTGTTGCGAAAGACGGCCAAGCTTTTTGAAAAAGCCCTACTTGTTTATATGAATGAATCAAATATAAAACATACCTTCAAACAAAGTTTTTTTTCTTATCTATTTTAGAGAATGAGTAAATTACTAGTTGCAGCAATTGATTTTGGAACAACATACTCAGGATTTGCATTTTCATTCGCGTATGACTACAAACATGATCCCCTCCAAATATATTTAAATCGATGGACAGCTGGCTCCGGTTTCCTCCAGTCCGAGAAAACACCAACTTGTGTTCTCTTTAGTCCAGATAGAAAATTTGATTCATTTGGATATGAGGCTGAAAACAAATACAGTGAACTAGCCCTAGAAAACAAGCACAGGCCGTGGTATTATTTCCGGCGATTTAAAATGGACCTGTACAATAAAGAGGTAATCAAATTAAAAAGAATTGATGCATCAACGAATAGAAAAGTTTTTTTTCAATGCAATTTTCATATATTTTTATTATTTTCACATTTAGGGCATTTCAAGAAGTCATAAAATTAAGGAAGATGGCGGAGAGAAAAGTATGGATGCATTAATAATTTTCAGTGCTTCCATAAAATACTTAAAAGAGAAAATGGTCGATAGGTGCAAACAGCAGGTCACAGGAATCGAAGAAGATGATATTCATTGGGTCCTAACAGTTCCAGCGATCTGGAGTGACCCAGCAAAGCAGTTCATGAGAGAGGCTGCAGTTCTTGTAGGTAAAATGATATATATATATATATATATATATATATATATATATATATATATATATATATATATATATATATATATATATATATATATATAACTTTTTGAAATTTGATATTAATTCCAAAATTCAATTTGCTTTCAAATTTAAACCATTAATCCGATTTTTTTTGACTGGTTTTATTAGATATTTAAAACCCTAATTCATCTCATTTACAAAACAAAAAATATTTTTACATTTTTTCGGGAAGAAAATTAAGAAAAAAAATTGTATATATTTTTATAATTCATGAATAGAAATCTTAGCGCGTATATTAGTGTGTCGGCACACTGTGTATATACCTGGTACATGTATCTGTGTTTTGTTTCTGTTTGTTTTTCTTTGCTTCTTTTCTTCCAAGCAATCACTTTCACTTCCGCTGACACTTATGCGCTTTCTTTATTGAAAGGCAGGAATTCCCTCTACTAGACTGAAAATAGCTCTGGAACCAGAGGCAGCATCACTCAACTGTAAATATTTGCCGATTGAAAAAAATGGAAACATCTTTAAACCTTTGTCTAAATACATGGTTATTGATGCAGGGGGTACGTTCCTTATTTTCTATTCCTTTTCTTTCTTTCTTTTTCTGGTGGCGATACTTTATTTATTTCTTTGATCAATGATGCAGACTGGATGACTTGTTTACTCTGTGCTATGCAGTGCACAAATAAGATTGTCTCTTTCTGATTTTCATGGGAGAAGTGACTTATTATAAAATTATCCCTTTATTAAATGTTATAAATATCTTATCATTTATTAAATATAAAATATATTTTTACTCTACGTATGTACAATTTCTAAAACGAGGTAAATTATTGACAAACAAGTTGATGAAACAAAAATATCAGCAGTCTCGTTTAAAGTCATCATTTCGTAAGTTCTATGGTCGATACAATGACCTTGTCAGCAAGTACAATTTATCATTGAGTCAAATGATGACTAACGTTTTTCATACTAATTGTTGGGCCATTATTAACACACTGAATTGTCGACGGATTTTTCCGTTATTTCCCAATCATCACAAGGAGCACACGGTGGGTGTGACCGGTCGGCAGGGGATGCTCACTCCTCCACGGCACCTGATCCCACCTCTGATGCTTTGGAGGTCCGTGTTTGCTCTGCTCCTATTTTGTATTGTTTTAATGAACTTTTGAGCTTGAATACTGTTCGTTATCTCCATATATTTCATTCCATCAAGCATAATGTTATATAAAAAATTTACATTCTGATCTACTATGCTCTAAATATGCCTTCGATTAAAATGGAAGTTCTCGATTTTTCAGAAAATTTAGAGTAATTTGTATTGCAAAATATTTTACTTAACAAATTGCGAAACATAGTCAAGAATCCACGTGTTCACCATTTTATTTGTTGGCCTAAAATTGTCAAAGCTGACTGAGGTTTTGTGATTTCATTTGCTTTTTCATTTTAAAATTAACAAATAGAAAAATGGAACAGTCACATGTTTTGGCATTGTTTGATAAAAGAAGTACCAAATATCAAACAATAATAATAATTAGACAAGTATTACAAACACTTTTTTAGGGTAAAGCTGATATAAATTCTTAAAAACGCAACATTTCATCCATGTAGGACTTGTTTCATACAAACTTTAGCCGTATTCCTTCATATTTCTTTCAGAACCTTGTCTTATTGTAACGATATATACCCCCTAAAACGGTAGCTCATCGGTAAAGCGCTCGCTGCGTGATCTGGAGGTCGTGAGTTCAGATCTCGGCCGAGATTGACCTAAGTCGATAAAAATGGGTAGCAACTGTTCCTTTGAAGTGAAAGTTGCGTGTCCTTCGATTGAGATCTTAAAAATAGAGGCCCTTTGGCACGGCAGGCTTTGGCACGATAAAGATCCCTCACTGCTCAATGGCCCTGAGTGCCGAGAAAAGGTCAAAATTTGAAGCACTTTATCGATATATGGTGACTTCTCTATTTGAGTGAAAAATTCTGGAATGGGACGTTAAACAACACACAATCAATCAATCAATATAACCCATAGCGCTCGTTACACTGGGTTGGTTATCGACTTTTGCACATCTTCGATGGTAAAGCAATAGGAGAACTCGTGACTTGATCAAAACGTATCAAAACTATAACAGATATAACAGTTATAATGATATTTATGAATTATCATTGTTCTGAGTAACAAATGTGAAATAAAAGCAAGTTTGGAAGAAAAACATTTGTTGCATGTGTATATTTTTAAGTATGCCAACCCATTCAGAATAAACTTGAAATAATAAGCAGTAAAACTCTTTTTTTTTGAGTGAAAAATTCTGGAATGGGACGTTAAACAACACACAATCAATCAATCAATATAACCCATAGCGCTCGTTACACTGGGTTGGTTATCGACTTTTGCACATCTTCGATGGTAAAGCAATAGGAGAACTCGTGACTTGATCAAAACGTATCAAAACTATAACAGATATAACAGTTATAATGATATTTATGAATTATCATTGTTCTGAGTAACAAATGTGAAATAAAAGCAAGTTTGGAAGAAAAACATTTGTTGCATGTGTATATTTTTAAGTATGCCAACCCATTCAGAATAAACTTGAAATAATAAGCAGTAAAACTCTTAAGTACAATCTGAAATTATTTATCATTAGAATGGAACAGAAAACCAGCGTCTTTGCTGTGCATGTCCACAATCACCTGATGCTTGTCGGAAAAATGGGTTGTTACAACGCGAAATGTAATAACAACGCAAAATGTAATAAACCGGGATTATTACATTTTGCGTTTTAACATTTAGCGTTGGGATTAATCCATAATGTAATAATGAAATTTTTGGTTGATACATTTTGCGTTAGTTAAATTTTGCGTTGAGGACTACGCAAAATATTATATAACAAAATGTAATAAAACAAAATATAATTTTTTGTATTGTATTCAACGCGAAACATCACAAAATTGATTTAAACATATAACAATGGGGAACTCACTTTACGAAATAGACAGACAGACCTATGACTATGAGACAAACGTTACGGGTTTTACAGACATTACTAAATCTAATTGTATATTTTTTAAACTCTGCCTCTAACATTTTTATTAAATACTTATAAAACATTAAATTTATCTTAACTTTGATTGACATGTCTATTTATAAATCAGTCTGTATTATATATCCGTCACTGAGATTCTTAATTACAAATGATTGACCATGGGTCCATTAAAAACTCTTCATATGCTTGTATAGAGGGGTAAACAAAACATTTGTGGACTAGAGCCATAAAGTTAAACCCGCTTTAGGTACATCAATGAATTTTAACAAATTTAGTTGACATCATCTTTTCTATCTATATAGAATAAACCATAAATCATAAGTTTTATTTTTTAATATTTTGTTAATGTTTTTGTAAGCAATGGTATGTCTAGGCAGTGCAAACTCAAATATGACGTTTTTCCCACCTGAGTGCAATTGAGAAAATTTCTTTTGATATGAGCATTTGTCTTAAAGGTGCTTGGGCACAGATTTGAAGTTAATATTTTCTCAAGTTTTCAGTATAATATCATGACTTATATGTTGCTAAAGCATTTCAAACGGAATTAAAATAAAAAACTTATTTTATCTGGAAATTATTGAAACTACAATTTTCGGGACGCGTTTGATTGATACATACTAGCACTTTCATAAGGCAAACTTTATCCTTAATACTTAAGAAAAGTAAAAAAAAATTTTTGTGTATTAATGAAATATATTCAAACTATAGTCCAGAAAATTCAGAGTAGAAATGTAAGAAAGCAAAACTAATTCACCAGTATTGTCAGTCCGTGCTCAGTGATGTTTGCAGAGATTAAAAAATTGAACACACCAGGTGAAACGTAAACATTAAAGGCAGAGATTTTTTACCGGGTGGTACATATATTCCAGGTGAGGGAGGGGCTTATTTTGTACAGGTGTGAATGCCTTGAGGGCTAGCAGTCTACCTGTGGTCATTTGTCTCCTAATCCCTATACACAGGAAGTGAATTAATACACAGTAGAGTAACCAAGAAATCAAACTTTACCTGTGTTGACATTTTCAGATGATTTTAAATTAGAAATAAAAAGTTGTAAATTAAGTTTTATCTCAATATTTCTTATTAATTTGTAATTGAATGTGTGTCAAAGCATCCTCACCCATTAAAAAAAATATTATTATTCAAAGTATTTTTTGAGCTTTGAAAAAAGTTATACCAAATTTTGATATATATTATCATAAAGAATATCATAATTATTTCAAATACTAAAGGTGTGTATGTATATATATTATTAAGCTAAAGATACCATAGTAATACAGCTTCTCTATTGTTTATACCATGTGTGGTAAATATCAAAGGATCAAAAGTTCATTTGAAGGTCACCACGAGTGCCAAACAAGGTGTACAGGGTATACACAGAGACTAGTAAGTAAATGTCAATCAAATTCTAGCACCCAATGTTGTACCTGAATGCACTTGATTGACAGGGGAACACAGACCAGGTATTTTTGAAGGCGGTGCTTAAAATCTCTGCCTTTAACAATAACAGAGTTCGTGCCCTGTTTACAAAAACAGTTTACGTTTCACGGGTGTGTTCAATTTGTTAAACTCTGCACACATCACTGACCACGGACTAGTGAATTGGTTTTGCTTTCTCATATTTCTACTATTTATTTTCTGTATTATAGTTTAATATTTTTCTTTAATGCACAACAAAATTTCTACTTTTCTTAAGTATTAAGGATAAAGTTTACTTTGTGAAAGTCCATAGATGTGTCAATCAAACGCGTCCCGAAATTTGTAGTTCCAATAATTTCCAGATAAAATAAGTTTTTTTTTTATTTTATTTCCATGTGAAATGCTATAAAAACATATAAGTCATGATATTATACCGAAATTTTGAGAAAATATTAACTTCAAATCTGTGTCCAAGCACCTTTAAAAATCCTGTTATTTCAGGCATGTGGTACGACACAATTGTTCCGTAAAATTTGCAATTTTTACCCAATTCTGTAAGTTCTATGAAATTTTATACGGAGTTTCAAAAAAAATTAAGGGTTTGAAAATGACGTCAAAAAGGGGGAGGGGTTCCTTTTTCCAGTATTCTATAAAGTTTTGCACCTGGAAAAACTGGTATAGACTTAGGGAATATTTAAACGGGCTACAGAAAAATAAAATTCTTTGACTGTATTCTTTGTTCGTACTGTCTGTGAATACAATTGTCAGGCAGATTCCCTGGCAAGACACAAGGGTATTGTAATGTAAAAAAAAAAACAACAACTTTTATTGTCCACTTAAAGGTGCTTAGACACAGATTTGAACTTAATACTTTCTCAAATTTTCTGTATAATATCACGACTTATATATTGCAATAGCATTTCACACGAAAATATAATTAAAAACTTATTTTATCTGGAAATTATTGGAACTACGAATTCCGGGACGCGTTTGATTAACACATCTTTGTACTTACACAATTTTAACTTTATCGTTAATATATAAGGAAGGAAGCGATTTTGTTATGTATTAATGAAAAATGTTACATCTATAATCCAGAAAAT